TGTTGTTTTTTGTTCGAAGTTGAAGAAGCTCTGAACTCAAGCCCTAATCGCGACCTGTTATTTATTTGCCTTTTTTTTTTTTAAATAAAGCGTCGCTACACTCGCTTCTCGCCACTCTGTCGCCTCTCGCTACACAGGCAGAGGCGACCGCTATTCTGAAACGCAACGCAATAGTTGCCCTGTAGCGACACTGCCTTGCCTCGCTACGCCTCACACTATTAGCGTTGAGGCAAGCACTATTTACAACACTGCCTGTGTCCTTCCCTTTCTCAAGCAGGCACACCGCTTTTCTCTCCATCCCTGAACCCCTATCTCAAGGGGAATCTTTAATGGAAAACACAAGCAACCAATTCTTTCATTACGATTTTATTTGCTCTAGTTACTTCAAAGGTTTAAACAAAAGTCAACCGATTGAGAGCACCAACAGTTCTAAATTGAAATTCTAGACACATAAAACATATTGCTAAGGGGTCGTTTGGTTGGAAAAAAGTTATCCCAGGATTAGTTATCCCGGGATTAGTTATTCCATCCTTCCATGGGGATAAAAAATACTACAATCCCGGGATAACTAATCTTGTGATTAATTATACCGCAATTTTATCCCAACCGAACATGGAATAAACTCTTCTTAAATTTAATCCCGAGATTAATTATCCGTTATCCCTCCTACCAAACGAGCCCTAAGGGTGTTATAAAAGGTATTCAGAAAAGTGGATAGGTGTTAATTTCTTAGGATTATTGGTGTGCGCTTCTTCTTTTGGGAACAGAGTGAGGAAATGGAGGGAAATGTTTCTCAGAGTTGAGACAAGGAGGGCATTTTGTGTGGAGAAAGCTGGATATTTAGGAGGGTTGCCTCTGCTGATCCAAGCATATTTACTGCATTGCACTTTTTCTTATTGCCAAATACCACATTATATCCCCTTTTGCTGTCTTCGCCCTCCTTTGTCCTTCATCTGATGAAACTTTTGCAATGTATTATTAACCTTCTTTTGCTGCTAATTCTGGACACATACTATCTTTTCCCTTTGGTGCTCCTTTCTCCATGTCTTCTTTCTCATTCTATAATGGCTTCTTATGCAGACGAGGTTTGAGACTTGAGATTTCTTTTGTGGTGTATTTTTTTTCCTTTCTATCTTTATCCCTCTCTCAAGCACACACGCTGTTCCCCAACACCAAACTCATATATCTAGAGGAGAACTAGAAACCAAAGAGCATCCCTTGCAAAGCCACAGTTTGCTCCATATTCAACCCAAACCTTGAGCCTCATCTCTTATTTCAAACAAAACAATAAGAAAAGAGAAAATTGAGAAAAAGCTGAAAATCAAAAGAAAATTGGTTACAAATCTAAGAATTATGAACACTTATAATATCTTATATAAACCACATAAACAACCAAATCAAATGTTAGAGGTCAAAAGAATAACATCTTAAGGTTATATGCATTTTTGGCATACTGGACATTTCAAACTCATTCAAAAGTAATTTTATTACCTACTGCCATGAAGAATTAAATCGAGGGGCTCGAGCTCAGACACGGTGTGAAACCATTTTGCACATGTAGATGAAATGTTTCGTTTCATTAATAAACAATGTTGTCAAACTTCAGATTCAAACAAACTACAACCTGAAAGATAAATATAGAAGTCAAAATTACAATTAAACTAGAGTAGGGAAGAATAGACCTTGAATCACCAAATATGAAAATAAATTTGAACAGAACATAATAATGTAGCCTTTTTTTTCGCATTGATTTTCTCACTCTTGTTTGGCTTTGCTCTTCCGGACTTGGCCTTCTATAGAGGAGTTGAAGGGGGATAAGAACCCTTTGGATCAAAGTCATGATCTGAAGGTTATCATCCTCACAATCCTCTTTAGCTGATGAGAGGAAGATTTTGGAGAAAATCTCTAATGAAATTGCTGGAGAAGTGACAAGGATTGGGTGGTAAAAAAATAACTTACTTGCCCGTTCATTCTTTTTTCTCGATCATTTCAAAAAAAAAAATTTCTTCTATGTTGTGATTTTTCAGTTTCAAATTTAAATAGATCAGAGATTTTAATGCTTTACTACTTGTATAAATGTTTCAGATAAATTTTAATATTTTTCTACTTGTATAAGTCTTCTTTGAATGAAAGAGAAAATAAAGATACAATTTCTTAAACGTTAGGACTTTATGACATAATTATATGTACAATATTATGTTGTAGATTTGATTTTAGGCCTCTAGTTATGTTTTTCTTTAACAGGACCTTAGGAGAAGAAAAGAATTAATCAAAAAATTGGTTCAATTCTTTAAAAGTCAAAAGAATTGGAACAAAAAAATAATGAAATTGAAATGAATAAATAGGGGATTCTGCAGGATCATCACCTATTGCCTCCCTAATATTTCTCCTCTATCTACTTTCCATACACCTGTTACCCCTTGTCTTTCAGACCCAATGGTTATTCCAAATTTTTCCCCTAAAAATCGTCATCTCTTCTCCTGCTTTCCTTCAAACCCAGCACCTATTTAGCTTTGCTTTCCATCCATGAAAGATTTCCTTCCTTTTATTCTCCTATGTTTCCTTCTTTTTTCCCCGAGATTTTTGCCACCCAAATTTTGCTCCTTTTTCAGCGATTTCATCTTCCGAAATCTTCTTTTCATTGGCAGAAAAGGATTAAGGGCATGATAGCCTCCAGATCATGACAAGAGTTCTCATTCCTTCAACTCCTATATAAAAAGGTCAGGTTAAGTCTAAGAGCAAATTGCTACCAAGCAAAAAGTAGTGAAAAGATGCTCCATTACCAAGTTTAGTTCGAATTTATTTCATATCTGGTGATAAGAGGTGCCAATACAGCTTCGGATTCCTTCCCAACTACAATTAAGGTCTATGTTTTTCTAGTTTAGTTTAGTGCTTGTAAGTTTGATTTTTGTTTTTTTTGTTTCAGTTTATCAGCTTTGTTTGTGAAGGAAAATAAACATTTTATCTTAGCGATTCTGATAAATTTGGTGTAGAAATGCTTACCCTTTGAATATGGTTATTGAGCTTTAAGTTTTTTTTTGATATTTGAAGTTTCCCCATGTTCTACGGACAGGGAGGGGGGTCTTTATCATTTATCCTGTCTTTATCATTTATCCTGTCTTTATCATTTATCCTGTCTTTCGTAGTTATATTTGTACGTTTAGAAGTATCCTTTTTTTGGCTTTGACATCTTGATTTATATTATCACAGGTGTATGTAACCATGCCTTCCACTTCCACTGCATCAGTCGCTGGCTCAAAACCCGTCAAGTGTGTCCATTAGGTAGTTATCAACTTTGTCTTTGGCGCTGTTTAGTTGTCTTATTAACTGTATATCATAATTGTTAACTCTTTTCCTCATTTCAGATAATAGTGAGTGGGAATTTCAGAAGTATGGTCACTAGAGGGATTCAACAAGTGGCACGAGAGGCGATTATGCTGCTTCATCATAATGTCGTTAAATGTAGTTTGTTCTAGTAATACTTGTTCCAATGCCTTTTGTTCTGTGTTGCTTTACGTATCTGAGTCTGCTTTGGCCATCTGATAGGCTTTACTAGAGAGCTCGTACTGAATCTCATGTGCTGTGCGATTCTGCTTACTGAAGTCAAACTTGTCCTTGTTGATTATGTTTGGGAAAACCTTCAACTAGAGCCACTAGCAAAATCTGGCGCCAATGTTATTTTACCTTCAATTACTCTAATATTGTGCTTTCTTTTTCTTGATCCTCTAAAGTTGTTCCCAGAATCTTTTGCCATTCGTTTGATACCTACATTTATGTGCTTGAGCCTATAAGATCCAGAGTATTCCAAAAGTTACATCGACTTTTTACATAAAGGCCAATGTTGGTAGCCAATTTAGAATGGCGCCCTGGTTTTGTGAGATACTATTAACAGTGGCAGGCAGCCAGGCACTATATGGGAGTAATTTGCTTAGCCAGAGGAAAGTCTTACCTTTGATCTGGGATGATGCATATAGCTACCTTTCAATAGAGTTAAATCCCAGGACTCCGACTTTTCTGCGAAGTCCGAGAAATTTTAGAAGCAAGTTGACAGTAGTGAGATTTGCTTTCGTTTCGCTCATCGGGTTGGCTTGAGAGGGATAATAGTAAAGATAGAAACTCCAAACTAATCAAAGATTAGATGAAATGATTTATAGTTGTCTGTCTTCCGATGATACTAGTTCATTTTGTACTAAGCCCATCAAATGACAATGTTACAGCAGATGAACATAAATTTTCAAAGGTACTTGAGGCTGATAAATACTCATAAACAAGAAAAGAATGATGACAATTTCTTAACATTATGATGGTCCTTCCCTATTTCTTTTTCCTTTCTGAACTTGGCCTTGTTTCTGTTTCTGGCCCATCACAGTTTGCAGTTAGCACAATTATCTTCTACTTCATAGTCCATTGCTCACTGAGATGCTGTAGCAGAGTGGAGTAGCCAATACACTGCAATTGGACTCCTCACGCTATGAATTCCATCACTCCATTCAATTGACCCAAATGCAGATTCAAGACCTTTTACTGTCTCCAACCCAACACTTCCATTACTGCTAAAACTAATCTCATACGACAAACTCTTATTTTCCTCGCTAAAACTAAGCTTAGTTGGAGTCACCTTCACCTCCACCGAAGCCGGCACACTTATTTTCACCTCATACACCGCATTCGTATTCCTGCCAACATTTTTAACCACACGCTTGTATTTCACCACACTCTCACTGCTAAAAACAACTGAGAACGATGGATAATTCAAATCCCCTGGACTAACGAAACTTTTTTCGCTGCAATTCACTGAAGAAGTTTCTTTCACGAACGGTGAAATCCTTTTGGGGTCATAACCAATGGCGCAGAGAAAATTCACGTAATCCTTCATTTCAATATCATAAACCAGACCTGGATCCAGTGCTCTGTTCGGATCCACATGACCCGACCCGTGAACAAACGGACTCGATTCTTGGCCTGTCGCGAGATCTGTAAAGGTTTTGCCGGAGTTATCAACGTTGTAAGCTGTCGTCATGAGGGCAGATTTGATGGCTGCTGTGGTCCATTTAGGGTAAGCTTTTCTAAGTAGAGCAGCTAATCCACTTACATGAGGACAAGACATGGATGTACCAGATATAATGTTGAATTCCACTCGTCTGGTATCAATTTCCAAATCTGTTGGTCCAATGGACCCGGTCCAACCGGCTAAAATGTTGACTCCTGGTGCAGTAACATCCGGTTTAAGGATCTCTGGTGTTACATAATTGGGTCCTCGGCCTGAGAACGCAGCAATACGTGGAGCAGTCGGTGATTTTCCGATCACAGTTCCTTTGAAAACGATCGTCGCTTTTGGGGATGAATCAGATTTGACGTAATCTCTTATTTTGTCACCGGCTTTTTGACCGACCATTGTCGCCGGTAGGAGATGTGAATCGGCGACGAGTTCTTCGCCGGAGTCAGCTAAATTCGCCAGGACCATACCTGCACCGCCGGCTAATTTCACTGCACTTCCTTTCTCTACTCTAGCATTGCCGCCTCTATCACATAATACAATTTTTCCGGCGACCTTTGAAGGATCCAGCTTTCCTGGATAACAGAGTTGACTCCCGCAGTCGCCGGAATAAACAAGAGGTAATTTTGTATCGTTAAGCGGATCGCCGGAATACAGGGATACGCCGCCGAATATTCTTCCGTCGCCTAAGATTACATTCGCCGGAAACTCCCGGTCTATGGTTGAAGCAGCAACAGTGAGAATCCACGGCGCAACGTTCACTGCCGTGGAAGCACCGGGACCGGAGTTTCCAGCAGAACAAGAGACAACAACGCCATGTTCCGAAGCACCAAAAGCTCCAATAGCAATGGAGTCAACGTCATACTCTGGTGCATAACCGTCAGCACCAACGGAAAGTGAAATCACGTGAACTCCATCAGCAACAGCTTGATCCATTGCGGCTAATATATCTGAATCAAAACACCCTGTTTTCCAACAGATCTTATAAGCTGCTATTCGAGCTTTCACAGCCATGCCTCTTGCTTCACCTTTTGCGTATTGAAAAAAGCTAGCGTTAGCTACAACAGATCCAGCTGCAGTTGAAGCAGTGTGGGTTCCATGTCCTTCAGTATCTCTTGGCGATTTAGATTCTTTAGACTCGTCAATTGGGCTTCCACGATCAGCTTCGTAGCCTTTGTAAAACAATCGAGCACCGATGATTTTACGATTACATGAAGTTGCAGGAAAGTCCTGCCCAGTTTCGCATTTGCCTTTCCAACCGGACGGGACAGCAGAAAGCCCGTCGTCGGAAAAGCTCGGCCTTTCGGGCCAAATGCCCGTGTCAAGGACCCCGACGATGACGTCATCGGCGTAATCGGAGTTGGGCCAAAGCCCAAATGAGTCTGCGAGGCCTAAGAAGGTCGGTGTGTGAGTGGTGTGAAGCTGACGTGCACGGTCAGGTATGACGGAGACCACGCCAGGCACGCGGCGGAGCCGGTCAGCCTGCCCGGAAGTGATACGGGCAGAGAAACCACGGGCAGCATAATCGTAAGAGTAAAGGATTTTGGCAGAGTGTTGGGAAGAAGAAGAGACTGATCGGAGAATGGAGGAGTACCAATTGTGGTGGGTAGTAAAGATGTGGGGCTTATGGGATTTTGACACGTGGACTATGAAAGTCTCATGACCATCCGATTGGACTGAAATTGCTAAAGAGTTGAGAAAGAAGAAGATTAAGAGGGAGAAAAAACAAGAAGAAGAAAGTGCCATTTTAGAAGAGTTTGTAAGAAGAAACTATTTTCTGCAAGTGTTAATATTGATAATCCGTACTTGATAAAAGGATAGATAGAGGTGTGGGCCTTATTGGGCCACGTTGTATATAGAGATTGGTTCATTTTCAGGCCCTTTTTGCCATTCCTGCATATCCACGTGGGATTTGGACCCATTCTTTAGATTAACGAGAGATGGAAGGGTAGGTAAGATATGTATTAATGTCCAGGAAAAAAAACGTTTGGAAATCTGTTAGGTATTTACTTTAGAATAAATTTAAAAAAAAAAAAAAAGGATTCTACGAGAAGATGAACTCACGTTTTTCTCGCAGTACCCGTACTACTGCCAACAAGGAGTATTATATTGAGCGTCATGAATCATGGCAATTAGGAGTGGACATCGGTTGGTTCGGTTCGGTTATGAATATTATCGGTTTAGCATATCAGTTATCGGTTTACAAATTTGATAAATCGATAACCGAACCGATAAGATATCGGTTATCGGGTACCGGCTAATCAGTTATCGATCATTATCAGTTTGGTTATCGGTTTACCCGATAAGATAACTCAATCTAGAGTTAAAGAAAAAAAGAGAAGATAATTCACTGGAGTTAAACAAAAAAGAGAAGAATTCACATATAATATACTACCCATTTCTGCGTTTTGTCGGTAATCACAACTGGAATAGTACTAATTCTTCAACAACAATTATCCAAATACATTATGCCCTCAAGCGTTGAAGCCCTCAACAATACCTGCATAGAATTTTTGCTTCCTCCGATACATTAAGCCTCCTCCGATATGATAACAACAATAGTTGAATAATAATTTTTATTTCATACAATACCTACACTTCCACAAGCATTGAATACCACAAGCTGTCCAATATAATATGAATGTTGTTTGTCAAATGCCTAACCTGGAAAAAGAAACCATAGAGCAATCCCTATATGAAGATGAATTTTATTATAGAAATTAAACGCCTAATGTATAAGACTAAAGACTTACGCTAGGAGTAACTACTAGTAAGGTCTACGAAGAATAAAGATGAAGCAACTGAAGAGTGCAATCCCTAGCATATGTATATACTTAAGGGTAAAGTCATAATTTTATTAATTCTTATTGGGTTATCGGTTAACCCATTAACAAAATTGGCAAACCGAGGTCCGAACCGATAACCCAATAGTGAAAAAATTCTAAATTGTTATCGAACGGTTAACCCAATAACCCGATACCAATAATCCAATAAATAATTAACGATTCGGGTTATCGGTTTTACCCGATATATGCCCATCCCTAATGACAATGATGCCTATTACTCCCTTGTTCAAAAGGCAAATAATGAAAATCAAAACATGTTTTTAAACTAAAGATTTGTAATAAGTTTTACTGTTATGCTACTAACTTCTCGCATTATATATTTTGATTTACAAAACAAAAAAAAATTTATTCCATATGTAAATCTAAGGCACCTGGAATGCAAAATCAAGATTCCCCTGAAAATTATTTTGGAGAGATCCCGATTAATACATTGAATCAATGACCAAGCTAGTGTATAGGTTATAAAATTTGGCCAAGTATTGTTGAGACAAAATAATGTAACTTGAGTGAAGAGTAGCTTAGGGGTCGTTTGGTATGTGTATAAGAATAGTGCGAAATAAAGTGTATTAGTAATGCATGGGTTAGTAATGCAAGCATTAGTTATGCAAATATTATTTCTTATCTACTGTTTGGTATGGTGTATTAAAATTATAAGGCATTGCATAATTTTTAAGAAAAATAGTTGCTTACAAAAATGCCCTCCATATTCTCTAGCTTTAAGGGACTTTAAGGACAATTTTGTCTTTAACCATGCTAATGCATGCATTAAAGCCTTGGTATTACTAATGACATGATTTTCTATGCATTACCTATGCATAGGATAATGCCAAGTATGATATATAACTAATACAAGTATTAGTTATACACAAGTTGAAAAAAATGTACCAA